CGCATTGCCGTAGGCCAGAGGTCGGACGAGGAGAGGCAGCTGTGTAATAGAATTATGTGACAGATAAGGGGAGAGATAGAGAGAGATGAGAGGAAAAAGAAACAGAGAGGAAACAATTTAATTCAAGAAAATATAAAGATAGCATTGCAATACAGAATGGCAATGTTTTGGATAACTACTTCTCAAAGTCGTATTAAAATCCAGAACACTGGTTTAAACAGACAAAAGGTATTACACACAAATTACGAAAAGGCAAAAAAGGACGACCAGAATGCCTCGATCCGTCTCTGATATGGAAGAGATGAGAAACATCGGTGATGGTATCAGTACAGATATGTTGAAACAGTTGCAGCAAATGTAAAATGGCTGTAGTTAAATTATTCAATATTATATTTTAAAGCAGGACATACCCTGCAATTTAAAATGTCTAAATATTCCTATTTTCCTAATACCCTTCATTGGTTTTATACCCAAACATAGAACAATAGATCAGATATTTACTCTCCAACTATTTATTCTATAATTTTCTCAAAACCATGTACGCATTTATATTTACATGATACTCTTTTCTTTTCATTGCTCTGAAATGGTTTTGGTGGCAAAGACTTTGACTTTCATTACATTGGCCAATCATCAGAACTATACTAAAAAACACTTCAGCCCTTCAACTTGACTCAAAGGAAAAAAGGGAGTAACGTGTATTTTATAATGAAAAAGAAAATAATATATTTTGAGAGACACAACATGGATTCAAACATTGGCGTGAACATACCTAGGCCAAACGAGTATTGCTTCAGGACAGGTTTTACCTTTAATATGGAGCTGAAGTTGGGGGCCTGTCCATTGAACAAGAGCACTGGATCACAGTTGAAAGAGATCATCTTGAGTTCTGTGAAAACATACTGACAGTCAACAGACACAGAAAACAAGTCAAATCAATAAACTTGAATGTTATCATTTTCGATGAGAGAATTTTAATCAGCCAAATTAAATTAAACTTCTCATAACAAGTCAACCAACTACATATACACTTAGTGACCATATACTCACCATTGAACCTAGTCATCATGAAAGAGAATGGCTAGAAAGAGATATGGTTAACGGCTTAAATTGAGACAAAAGTGTGTTTTATCACAAATATTCACAAATTGACTAAATATTTAAATTCGACCAAATAACCTCAGTGTCTCACACTTCCACAACACTAATTCAAACTCTTTGAGAAGACAACAGGTCACAAAGCAAGTCATAATTATATAGACCCTTTCTTTTTTAACAGTTATTTATCCTTTTTCCTAAATATATGATGTACTATGTACATTAAATAGTTTATATGTAACTCTTTCCTTTGCAACATGTTTGATTCATAACGTCATGCCAATTAAGCCAATTTAATTTAAGTGATAAAGATCTGGAGATATGGTTGGATAGATAGATGAACGGACGGATATGAAAGGAGTGTGTGTGTGTGTGTGTGTGTGTGTGTGTGTGTGTGTGTGTGTGTGTGTGTGTGTGTGTGTGTGTGTGTGTAAGTGAGAGAGTGACAGCAAGAGCCTTATCCTCCATTAATAACAGCCACTAATCCCCTGATGTGATTACCTCTCCCTCCCTCCCCCCTCCTCTACTTTACCCCCTCTCCCTCCATCGCTCCACACTCTTTCTCCCATTCAGCAGCGCCAGCCACTTGTCTTCCATGGCAGGGCTCAGCTGGTCCAATCCCCTGAACAGATCCAAGACTTCCACTGTGTTCAGCTGCCAGGACGATGGAGGTCTTCCAATTTGACGCCTCTCCTTACTAGAACTCGCCTCTGGGCAGGTGTATAAAATAGCAAAAGTCAGCGGTGTTAGTGCAGAGAAGGAAGCACATTTAAACAGATTAAGACCCATGCCTCTGTTCAAAGCTCTGACACGTAATGCTGCCTGAATGAGAGGTGACGTGTGATATAAATCGTACAAGATATGGTTTTGGATGTTCAAACGTTTATGGAAATATCTGCAAGCATTAAGGATTATGGGTGTGCAAAGGGAGGCAACAAGCATGTCAGGATAGCTATTTCTGTCCTCAATGACTTGCTGCCAAATGCATTTTTTTTTCTCCAGCATTTGATAAACTCGCTACATCAATATAAAGTCTTGTGTTTCTATGGAAACTTAGACCTCCGAGAAGGTTGAAATTTGCCACTTAGCTCCAGATCTGCTCAATAGTCAAATGCTTTGAAAAATCGACACAATGCGTGTTCAGTTTACTTCTGCAGACAAATGAAACTATGTGCAGCCACGCATTGTCCAACGTGTTTTACATACAAAAGCTTTTAGTTGAAAAGCATGCAGGTACAATTTAATAAATTAATTTTTAAATCTGTGTTTATCAAAAGCACAACACAAGGCAGGTAGATTAAAATAAGTGTTGCGAGTATTCTTGTAAATGTTAAGGAGCGTTAAGAAATCTTAATTTTAAAATCCTTTGCACAGTAGAGTTATAAAAGCATAATGCAGACTGATTATTATAAATTGTCAGAAAAATGCTCTTATATTGTACACACACACACACACGGGTTGATGCAGGTCCCCCGGGGGGAGCGACAGTGCAGTGTAACATTGTACTTGGTTTACTTGGTCTACTTGGTGATGTCTCCATGGTAACTGTTATGTCTGACCTTCAAACATGTGCACTGCTTTCCATCTGGCTCAGGTTGGCTAATCAGATCACATCAACACACACATAAATGCACTGTCAGTTCTCATTACGAATGAAGGGCACTCTTTGTGATTTTGAGATCATCCAAGTTTGTTCTTAGTCAGTGTAACCTCTGAATTTCTTTCCAGCAGAAAGGCATTTTAGGATTGCTACTTGTTTTTATTTGCACATAAGCATGCTACTGCTTAAACAAGATGAAAAGTTCCCTTAGAGCTGCCGTAGTTTGCTGTGGGTTCAAATGCAGACTTGATTCAATTACTTGCCTTTCATCACCAAATAGGCCATACACCGGCATGCTTCCACAAACTGCCCTTTTATTTCTGTCCTGTTCCATACCCTCATCTGCTGTTAGCCAAATTCATAAGGAGCTCCAGAAGGGCCAACATCTGGAGGCTCCTTAGGCCCAGGGCCGTGCATCCGTTTTGGGGCAAGGAGGCCTGGAGACCAGCCCCTCCTGTTGAGCTCAGCCTTTGGTGTGTGTTGTACCATTCAGGGTCTCCACTTCCTGAGTTCTGGTGCCTTGATGTGGCCACAACCATAGCGCATGATTTATTACAGTACTAACTATGTCCCCACTGCTAATACTGCCATTATTATGACCATACACTCCCCTCCTCCTTCCTCAATCTCCCACCTGGAGTCGCACACTGAAGCCTTTACCAGATACAGCCGACACAGCTCTGGCTCGTGTGATTATGTTGTTGCCTTAATGGATGTTTGGCCTCAGTAGAAGATGTTTGAAGAGGGTGGGGGAGCCATGCTGCGGATGAGGTGACAAAGTTGTTGGGACAGTGACACAAATTGTTAAGTGAGATCAGCTGTTTCCCAACTTGTTGTGTTGTAAACTAGTTTGCTGCCTTGTGTGGTTTACGGGTAGAAGGTCTTTCTCAGGGGGAACCAGGGAAAGTGGGGGTGGAGGTGGCTGGGAGGTAAACTAGAATTTGGCTGTGTGGTCAATCAAAGGGACCTCATCAAAGTCCATCAACCAGTGCTCCCCACAACCTTCCTTGCCTATTTTCCTCTGTTTATGTAAGCGCTACGCAGTGTAATCAGCAGGGCATGAGCAGAGAGAAAGATGGATGAAAGGAGAAGAAGGTGGAGAGGTGTGGAGATGGAGTAAAGAAGTGTTTGTGTAAACAAAGCCAGAGTGAGGAGGCAGAAGAAAGAGGGAGAAGGGCAGCGGACAGAGGAAGTGAGGGGTCCAGAAATGAGAGTGTGTCCAGAGAGGAGGGATGTGGTGGACTTGTGTTTACAGGCCGCAGTCACACAGGGCAATGTGGCTTTGTGTGTCAGCACTCCGACTTTGTGATGGGTTACCACTGCAAAAGAATAATCAAGACATATTTACACTACAGTAGAAAAGCATTCAACTCCTCAGGAAGTGTGCCACTTTAGCATGTGAATACAGAAGCAACAAAAACCACTGTTCCTTCATCAGTAAGTCACATACATCCTTCAAAAAGTATAAACAAGGAAAAAGGAAGTGGAAGCCCATTTTAAACACCCATTTATTCATATATACATCCCCTATTGTGCCATGTTGTCCCCTCTGAGACACCAGCTCGGGTATCCCCCTGTGATCCCCCATTAGTAACAGACTCGCTTGCAGGCAGCTGCCTCAAAGCTCCACAGAGGTATCGGATCTCCTCCTCTTCTTCATCTCCTTAATTAGAACAATTAAGAGATTTACAGGACAGATGGATGGAAATCCAGCTGGCTGTGGTACCCGTCCCTGAGGAGGACTGACGATGAGGAGGTGAGATCTGAGTGAGGCAGCACAGCTTTAGAGCATCTCACTCGTATGACTCTGGCTCCCTCTGGTGGTCATGTATGGATACGGTCAGTGGTTGTGAACATAAACGTTTTTTTTTTATGTTTTGATCCAAACGTTTTCCATTACTATTATGAACTATTATTTTCTGCATATAAATATTGTGTTCGCTATAACCTAAACCTTGTTTTTTTTTAACTGAACAAGCTGAGAGTTGATACAACTGTTACAGCTGGTGGTTTGTAACCTGAAGGTAAATCTGATGTGTTCATTTTTCTACATGACACAAAAATGTTGATGACTTTGGTCATTTACTAGGCTATATTTATAGCGTAAAGCAAAAATAGCAAAGATGTGGTATCATTTCTTTACACATAAAGTCGCATACAAATATAACAAGTCCTTTGATTTCAGTTGAGCAATCAAATAGCCGATATTGTGTCAAAATTAGAAAGAAAAGAAATAACCAAAATGACTAATAAAGTAATGCAAAAAGTGCAAGGAAGGTTTGAAAGTAAAAGTCCATTTGCGTTAATGTTGTGATTAAAGTTTATTTAATGATTAACAAATTTGATTATTTTTTTCTTTTGGTTAATATGAATCAACTTAGCACACATATACATTTGCAGTAGATATAATTTCTTTCCTCAATACCATAACAAATACACATATATATAAAAAATTCTATTTAGCAAATGTATTAAAATGTCCTGTTTATTTGTATGATAAAGCCTCATTTTGGAGGATGTTTAGAGATTCACAGCTCTTGAAGTGGCTCCGCGCCTCTGTAACGAAGCGCTCCATTGGTCAGCCACCTGCACACAAGAGAAAGGTATTGTCAATAAAGCAGGTTATCTTTAAGTGGCTTATAGAAATATGTCACATACTGCAAACCACTCACATGTTCAGGTTGCCTTTTTTCAGTTTTATTCCTTTATGAATAGAAAATATAAGATTCAGAATAAAGAAGGAAAACCTTTCAGATGGGTTTAGTTTACACTGTTCGGAATACTCACGGAGAAGCTTCCATGTTGTTACCATGCCAACAACCAACAGCACCAGCACCACTGGCACTGCGATGGCTGCTAGGTGACCACTTTGACTCTTGTCAACGCTCGCCTACAGAGGGGGTTCAATAAGTTCACCCTTTCATGCACTGCACATTATATATCTTGTAATAATTAAATGGCATGAACAGATGTAACCCTCTAGGGGGCAGAACATCAAAACAAGCTAACAGTCACCAGCTAATGTTGTTTTTAGCTAGTTAGAAAAACAATTGCCCAATTTCCCACCCTGTGGATACACAGAAATATTAACTTTAATTTGGAGAGACATTTCTGGCCGCCTCTTTCTTCAAGTTCTGTTTTGGTCTTTACTCAAACCTGAGAAATATAGCATTATTTTCACTTTCAGTTTTTTGTGGATTTCTTTCTTTTTTTTAAACTGCCTAAAGCAGGGGATGATTAGCAGAGGTGAAAAGTGACTTCATACTTTGAATGTAGACCTTCTTACTGTGCTTGTGTGTGAGGTACTTGTAATTTACTTGAGTACACATTTCAGGGAGAAATACTTTTTACTTAACAAAATCGTAATGATTAGTTTGGAAATTCAGATTAGTAAAACAGTATACAAATCAACGTATAGCTATTATTAAACATGATTGCTCCACAAGGCAGTATATAGATGAACTGGAATTAGCCCTAGCTTTACCAGCAACAGTATTGGTGTTTACATGCCGGTCCGCTGCAACTCTTACTACTTTTAAATCCAGGCTGAAGACTTTTCTTTTTGTCGCCGCTTTTAATTGAACTATTCATGTCTTAAACTGCACTGTAACTTTTATCCATGTATTTTTTCTTTTAATGTTTCTTTTATTATCTTTTCTTTTTAATGACTGATTTTAAATGCCATTTTCTTAATGTCGTTCATTTTTTGTAAAGCACTTTGAATTGCCTTGTGTTGAAAGGTGCTATATAAATAAACTTGCCTTGCCTTGCCTTACATTGATGCATCAATAATTATAATCCAGTTATGTGACATATCCTTTTCTGAAAATGGACCAACCAAAGATACATTTTGAATGCAGGACTAACTTTATTTCTACATTGGTTCTATTACTACTTTTACTAAGTGAGTACTTGTTCCACCACTGTTGAGTCTCAGTCTCACACACAGAGTAAATGTATTGTATGCTATAAATAAAAATCAATGCGCTACAAGAGGCCAACCCTCAGTGGGTTTGTCACTATCAGCAAATTGATTAATTTAACACAGCCGTGCTATTTCTTAATATCGAAAGAAAACAATAATAATGATTGTTTTCATACTTACAGCAGCATGAGTGTCAGTAGAAATGGTGGTAAGGACATCACCCCTCTGATGACCTGTCAGACACCCACAAAGGAAATTAGCTAATTAGAGGGTGTTTTTCAGAAAACTGCTGAATATGCAAAAACTAAAATGCTATCAAGGAACAAATCTGAGAGTGCGAGTAAGGGCCACTTCTTGAACTTTTCAACCAAATGCATCACTTGAGATTTATGCAATATGTATCACAGTGTTAATTGAAGAACATTATGATGCAAAATATGAGTATAGATTTAAATATTTGTTTTCTTTTTCACTAGGATTTACCATCTCATCTAATCTCATCTAATTTCATGTATTTTGTGTATTCTATTTCATTTTATTTTTTATCTTACCTTATTTTATTTTTAAATTATTATCAAATTGTTAGATTTTCCATCTTATTTCCCATTAATAATGACATTCTGTGTTTTCTCAATGATATCTTATTGTAGAGAACCTTGGGCTGCATTTCTTGTATGAAAGGTGCTACAGTATACAATTAAAGTAATATAATCATGACTCATATTATTATTTTAAAAACTATTATGATAACCAAGTATGGTTCCTTTTGATGGTGTACCACAGTAACATACAATAAAAGACAAAACACAAAAACAGTCATTTAAACAAATGAAACAATTCAGAAAAACGTGATACCTCCTTCTCCAGTGGTGATGGTGAGGACGTTGCTGGCTCCACTGGTGGCCAAACTGTTCTTGGCAAACATGCGGATGTTGAATGTGGAGGGATTCATCTCTATTATTGTGGCGTCTGTCTGGTTAGGGCTGAAGTCAATAACTGTCTTTATGTAATCCCAGGAGGCTGTGAAGAAGGGAACAAAATAAGATTTAACATAACATAACCAGCGGGATTACAGCGGCAATGTGAATTCAGCTTTTACAGTTACAGGGAAGAAGCAAGTATTTTTTTATTCCATTACAAATGCCTCATACCGTTAGCTGATTTGGACTCCAGGTAATAGCCAGTGATGGGAGTGTCTCCTTCAAACCCGGGGGTCCATAAAATGGAAAATGTATTGTCTCTGACCTCCTTTAACTCAAGCACCGGGGGGTCCGGGGGCACTAGAGACATGCAGCAAAGTTTTTTTATATACAGCTTAGTTTATTTTGTGAATTTGAAAATGTTTCTTCTGCATATATAGATTGTAATGATCATGGCATGTAACAAACCACAGCTGCGATAAATGAATCTACACTTAAGTGACACTATGACAGCACATTGAGATCTAACTTGAATTTGGGCATTTTTCATGAGAGACTGTGGAAGACCTACATTTAAAGGTCCCCTTTTAAACTATTTTTCATCAATATATTATAGGTCTCAGATATATACAAACATGTCTCTGAAGTGTTTGGCTCCAAATACCAAACAGATCATTGTAGCATCCCATAATCCCCTCTGTTTCAGTCCTGTTTCAAAAGAGCTGATTCTGTTACTTTAGATGAAAATAAGGAGCCACTCCCCACGCCCCTCTGAGAGATATCTGGTTAAAAAGAACACAATGGTGCTCTCGGAGGAGATTCAGGTGATAAGGTGGGGGGGGGGGGGGTTACCTTGGTTGGTTATTGGCTAATGGTTACACAAGCCTGATCAGCTCATTTTCAGACAGGTTTTTATATAAATGGATCAGGACAAAAAGTGAGTGAATCTTTTTTTCCTGAAACGTTCAGAATCTCTTTACACAGAGGGGGACACATGTTTATGTATAAAATGAACAAGTGGATTTTGCATAATAGGTGACCTTTAAATAAAGTTAAATTGGATGAATTGTGGCTAAATAAATTACTATACTATAGGTACTATACCTGATGTGATGCCTGGGGTGCTTCCTCCCCAAACAGTGGCAGCAGGAACACTCTGAACTGTGGAAGTTGTGTCAGCTTAGGACAATTCAATTTATTTATATAGCTCTCAAAATGTTGATAAATGCTTCAGCCAATAACACATACCTGTTATCCATGTGGCAGCAGTGGAAGAAGACTTGATATTTGACACTGTAGAAGATTTGTGAACTTAAAAGAGAAACATTTGTATTAATATCGAAACTGGGATGATAAGAATTATTAAATATAAGTCATACTTTGCTATCCTCTCATGTGACCCATCTTACCCTCATCCAGAGTGGAGCAGAGAGGGGCATTTGAAGCAGGTCCTATTCCTGCGTCGGTTTTGGCCTGTATAATCACGCCATATCTGGCAGAAGGCTTCAGGTTGCTGAGGACGATGCTCTCTAGATCCCGTGTGGCCGGCACACTCAAGTGCTGCCACTTTTTAAACTGCCGGCCTGCAGGGTCGTACTCTCTGTAGCTGATGCTGTAACTCCGAAGAACCCCGTTTCTTAGCTCGGTCCTCGGAGGCTGGACGAGAGTAAAGGGTAATAAAGTATTTTACACTCCTTTTCTTTTTAAATATATCATATACATCAGGGGTGTCCAAACCTTTTTCACGAGGGCCACATACAGAAAAATATACGAAGGGCTGGGCCACTCACTAGAGGTATATTGCCTCATAAGTTCAGTTATAAGTTGGAAAAATCAATCCAATGTAGGTAAATTATTCTTGATACTTGAAAAGGCTGTTAAAAAAATGTAAAAGCTTTACCTTCCACGTGACTTTGATGGTGTGGGAAGAGAGGGGCTCCAGCTGCATATCCAGGGGAGGACCCTCTGGTGCTGCACATTTGAACAAGTCATCCATCAAAACTGATTTGAGTCCTACACATCTCAAAATATTTCTGAAAACAATAAATATGAGTGAACCTACCTGCTTCTTTCGTTGTGAATGTCAGAACATTGCTTGTGTCGCTCCTGCCCACACTGTTGATAGCAAACATGCGGAGGTCGTAGGCCTTGGCCGGTCGCAATTCCAAAGTCAGCTGAGTCAGTTGAGGATTATAGACTTTAGATGTCTGTCTAGAGGATACTGTGCAACAGGGACATATATTTCAAAAGACAGAATTAGCTGTGAAATGTCCAAATTCTATTAATATTGAGATACTTTTATTGTGCTTCCTTTACACTCTATGATGTATAGATCAATCAAGTAGTATTCAATAGGTTTGCCGCCATCAAACACAAGGCTCCAGCGGACAGTGACAGTTCTCGGCTTCAACTCTCTTATCTCTATCTCCGGGGCATTAGGGCGTACTGAAAAGAAGTACAAACTTAGTTAAATGCTAAACAGTGTTGTAACAACAAGTCTAAAATAGTGAGACTCAAGTGATATATCAAGAGACTTAAATGAAAACATTGTTATGTTGCCTTGGTCTCTTAGAAGTTGTGAGCAACAGATACTAACATACTCCCCACAGAGATCATAATGTCTGCCTGTGGGTCTCACCTGCCACCACAGTCAGAGTCAGCTGGTGTTTGTGATCATTGAACCAGCCAGGTATTTGCACACGGCATCCATACATCCCGGAGTCGCCCTCCTCCACCTTCCTGATGGTGAGCGACACATCGCCCTCACCAATATCACCCTTGAGCAGGTACCGCTCCGACAGTCTGCTGGTCACCGTGGTCCCGTCTGCCTTGATCACCTCATTGTCACAGCCACGGTTAGGGATGGATCCTCGACCCCAGCATGCAGGAAGCTTGCCGTAGTACTTGGCATCATAGTTGCATATCAAAGTTACATCTTCCCCCACTGTGACTATGATGCTCTCTGCAGATACACAACCTGGGAAGGCATAATGGAACATTATATTAAGTAAAAAGATATATTATAAATGAATAAATGTGCATTGTCATGACTTACTTACCTAGGAGTAGACAAAACAGGAGACTTCTGCCTAAAGAAAACATTTTACTCTCCTTGTCTCTATCAATTTGAGGATACGGTCCACCTGCTCCACGACACTGAACAAAACCGCAGTGTGGTTTCTGCTTTGAAATCCTTCCAAATCACATGATGCCGTCCTTGAAATGCTCACACAAACAACTTTGCTGGCAGAAGAGGAATGTAGAAAGAGCCATTTCCTTCTCTGTGGTTTTGGTTCCTTATCCTAGTAGTGGTACACTGTTTCTTTTTGATGACTAGACAGAGACCAAATGAAGATACTCTGTCCTTCTGTTTGTTCTCAGTCTTGATACGGACAGAAGGTAATTTATGAAGTTTTAAACATTAAAACTCTAAACTTCTTAACTGGATGAGCAGGTTGGCATCCAAAGAGATTATACAGTCAAATGTGGAAATACATTTATTGCAATAGAAAATATTAAAAATAACTAAACTCAGTGAAAATCAGTGCTAACTTCTATTGTCAGCCTGCATAAACACAACATCAAAGATATCTAATCATTATTTTAAATTCCAAAAGTATGCCCTTAAATAGAATACTGATGAAGAAAGAAAGTCTGGGTTGCTCAAGGGACATGTATTCCTGTATGTTTTTAGACTGCTGAGTAAACATTCGGGTCTGCTGGATGTTTAGTAACCCAGAAAATAACTTCCTCTTCGATCACTCCCATACATGTGTGGTCGGTACTACTGTAGCCGCCTCAAAATATTTACAACTAAAAAGCTGTAGATTTATTTTGTCATTTAAAATATTTGTTGGATTGCCGAATGAGACTATCAACAATTGTGTACTTATGCACGTGGGTTCAGACAATGAAAAAATAAAATGTGACTTACAACTGTAACAGTTAGGATACATGCAGACTTGCCACAATCTAGATGATTCTTTCTCACATCAGTCATGAACTTTCTGTAAACACTGTCACGAGTATTTCTCTTAGCAAATATTCCTTCCCCTAATTTCTGGGATTATGCTTACATTGCTAAACTTCATAGAGAGAATACAACATCAATACAGGAACATAATCAGCATTTACTCTATAGTGATTTTCTTTTTACACTAAGTATTCACATGAAACCAGAACTGCAACAGAAACCGAAAGGGCGACTTTCCCTCACTGAAATGTGAGAACATGCTGATATCCTCCATATACATGTTTACAGCTAATTCTTCAAAACAAGCGCAAAAAGGGAATGTATGTCATTTTCTGTTGTGTTTCTTTGGCATGTTTGAATTACAAGATACAAACAATAAAATTAGTTAAAAGGTTGATGGACTCACATTTTGAGAGTAAGCAGTGTGTATGCAACAAACCCAGAACATTGAGGGGCGCATTCTGTAATCTCCTCTAATGTGATAGCACTGCGTTGAATCCAGTAGGTGGCATTGTGTCCACAGCTATAAAACATCCACTCTTTTTTTTTAATACAAGATTAAATCTCCTATTTAAAAAAAAAGGAGAAAACAGGAAAGGGAACTAATTAATCTGCAGGATAATTTGCATATTCTGAGCCTTCCTTGACACACATTAACCCTTTCTAAGAGCGGGAGAGTGTAAACTGCTGTTGCCAATTTGACACTTCTTTTTTCAGATTGAGTAACAGACAAAACGTTTTCCCTTTAAGGCTGATAACATAGCCGAGATAAAGTCTACAAACATCATGAGTGAAACTAACTTCACACTTAAACCTAGGCATATATTAGGAGATTTGTTTAGTCAAAAAGGAGAAACCTTATCAGCAGACTACACGTTTATACTATAAAACTCTGCAGAACTGGATTACATTCATTGATGTTTGGAATATTGAGTGACAACTCTTTGTATATTTTTACCATGTCTGTTTAATGTTGTGGGAAGATTGTAGTTAACCCAGATAAACTAGGACAGGCCTGTAGTTAAGGTGAGGTAGCAATAACACTTAGTGAAGGTTAGGGAGAAAACTAAACTTTTTGCTGAAATCTGATAAAATAGCATGCTGCCCTCCACCCATGCACGCATAGTTAATAAAGAGCACTGTGCTTCCTGTGTTTGTTCTGAATTGTGGCATTGAATGTGATTTAAACTTAGCAAACCATCCAGTAAAGATTGTCCTACAGTATGGAAAAAAATTATCCAACACACAAGTCACAAACTATAATCCATTCCACAATTTTGGAAAATAAAGAGGATTATAATTATTTTAACAACAAAAAACTACCGCCCTGGCTTTGAAATGTTCCCCGAATAGAAATGAACCTCATCTTAAGGGACTGGCTCAACTATTATTGCTACAGTTTTATATATGTTCCATAAACATGCAGCATATACAAATGCAGATTCTTGTTGAAAACAATATTGCCTTGTACTTTTGATTTTGTTTCCAGCAAGGTAGAGGTAATGACATGTTTAATTTTCCTAATGAATTCTGCACACTGCACTCCAATACAGGAAAAAGATTGGTGTTGGAGTGTGTCATAATACAAAAACAAAACATCTTTTACCTCACTGAGAATATACCGTGTTTGAATGTGAAGTTGAGCCATTTACCTACTTTATTATAACATTACTAAAAACAGTCATTTTTATGGACCCATAGGTGAAAATTGAGCAAATAAACAAAAAGGATATAACATCAAATGCAATTTTTTTTTTATTGTTTGCAATATACAATTATAAAATTGAATCCATCTTTATTCAAAACATTTTGAGTAGGAATAGTCATTTGATTAGATCTATATTATCTTGATAATATTGCATTAAATCCAATAGGTGGCATTGTGTCCACACGTATAAACCATCCACAAGCTTTTAAGAGCCGTGCAATTCATTTTACCAGACAAACAGCAACTTGATTAATCTTCAGGATATTTTCTCCGCCACACATGACACACATTTGTCTTTTTTCAGAGCAATCTGAGAACTATAAGCTGCTTTACTGTGGAGAGGGCTTCAAAGGGTTTCACTCTAAAGCTGAAGCGGTGGAAACACATGAAAAGCACACACATTCAGCAAGCAGTTATTTAGAGACGCCATTGTCCTCATCATGTTCATCAATTTTGCACATGGAAAACATTATAGTACTTCATAAATGTTCTCAGCAGTTGAGATGTTGACATCTTGAAGTTTCCTCTTTGGCAGAAGTCTTCTCCCTGGTTTGAAGAAAAGCAAACATTAAATTATACACTCAGTCAATAAAAGGAAGACCCACTCAGTGACTTCAACTCAATAGACACCCACTTTAAATGTGCAAAAATGAATCTGAATGGCATTGAGTCACAAACTAAAATCCATTCCAAGCATACCAAAAGCAAAGACGAGGATAATGATGATAGCGAAGAAGAAAAGAGCTGCCACTCTGCCAATGTTCCCCACCTCCAGGAAGGCTTTGAGTTTTTCCTGCAAAATAAATGAACCTTATCATGAAGGACTAGGTTCATTGTGCCATAAATAAACAGCATATTGAAAATTAATTGTATATTAAAAACTGTAATATATACTTGTACTCAATTTGTCACTCCCAGCCTATACCCACCCCCACACATGTGAAAAATAATTCCTTTGAAATAAAAATGAGATTGGAAAGCTGCAGAGTTATTATTCTGATGATGTTTGTAATTATTATTCAGATTTTGCCAAATCTTTCTTCAGAAAAAATGTCAGGAAGAAAGCCAGATTAGCCAAGACATTAGCTTTGAATAAATAAAAAGCTTCCATTAGAGTTTATTTATTTGTATTGTAAGCCAACACCTCTATACGTTCTTTCACTTATGTTTCATTAATCACGTCAGTCACTGTAGCTGCTAATTTAAATAAATCACATAAGAGTAGAGAAAAGTATTGATCTTTTTTGATAAATAGCATATTTTTATAAATACTGTAATATATAGTTTTAACTCACTACCAAAACAATAACACACCTCAGTTGATGCAATTCCAATTACGTCCAATGCTAGAACTTCCTCATTTTCAGTAGAAGCAGCAAATGTTGTCAAAAGTTCTTTAAGGAATAGAAACCACAAGTTATTATTATGTAAAAAACAAGGTTATGCTCAACATGTAAAAGAATGAACTGCATTGTTCTATACCTGAATACAGAACATTGCTATAAAACAGCTGCCTAGATACATTATGAATTACAAAATATAAACATCTTGGTCAACAACACACATTTTAAACATTATTAATTAATGTATTTATTTCACAGGTGATTTCTCACCCTGGCTCACACCAACAGTAGGTCTCCAGTCCGGGGTTACTGGTTGCTCCTCGGGGGCTGGCAAAAAGAAAATACCTTAATGCTGTGAATTAGGTTCATATTCACACTGGGTGGGCTTCATGAGCTTTACCTTCCTCCATGAGCAGGTGTGTGTTGAGCTTCAGGTCATTGAACCATCCTGGGATCTCTACCCTGCAGCCGTACACACCGGCATCACTCCACTGAGCGTCCAGGATGGTCAGCGACACGTCTCCGCCCGACACCCGGCCCCGGAGCTGGAACCTGGAGGACTTCATGGTCAGCACAGTCCCATCCGAGGAGAGGATGGTGCTGGAGCATTGGGAATTGGGCACCATGCCTTGCCCCCAACAGAAACTCAGGACGCCGTGAGTTTGGGCGTCATACGTACAGGGCAGAGTCACATTGTGCCCAACGAGGCCAGTGACTTCAACGGTGCTGGAAGACACTGTGGAGGACAGCAAATGATCAATTTAGATGATACGATGCAGATTGCATTTGTAATTAATAAATGTGAAGCCTGCGATTGCATCCACACATGCAAGCACACACACTCCATCACACTCACACCCACAGGCAGGCTAGAAATACAAGAAAACTCAAAAGCGAGAGTATCGACTCACCTTGGGTCATGATTGAGAGGCAAAAATAAAAAAGACCACGCATGTGTGTAGGCTATTGTATTACAATGTCCTGAAGAGATAAAAAGATACACTTCTCCCCACACACTCTCCTCAGTATGGATGATGTTATTCACTGAAGCTTCAACTTCCTTTTTTTGAAAATTAGGAAGGAAATCAATGTTAGTCATGTCTACATATGAGCCTGACTGCTTGTGATGTGCAAAGAGCTTATGTGCAGTCTGCTGGTATTACCTAATCTGAGATATCATTGT